TCCCGGTCCATCCGGGGGAAGGCGTTACAGCCAGCAGGGGAAGTCACTGGAGCCCGGGAGGTCACAGGAACCTGGCTGTTGTTTTACCCTGGTCACTAATGCACAGAGGGAGCCTGGGGCAGGCGGACTGTGGTGGAAGCCGAGCATTCCCACCATGACCACACAGGGGAGGAGGTCAAATCAAGTAGAAGAAAAGAGTCATTTCATTCTTTATCGGGCAAAAGCATGCCCCAAACGGGAGTCAGTCTTCCCCCTGCTTAAGCCAAATGAAGCCTGGATAAGCTTCTGCCATGGAATCTGATTTGGTTTTTTTGTTTTCTTTTTTGTTTTTTCTGCTGTCCTGCCGTAAGTTCATCATGATCTCATGAAGAGAAGCGGGTGGGGAAAGTGACCTTGAGAAGGCCGGCGGCAGCGTTACATCGCACTGACTTCGAAGCACAGTTATTATGAGCAGTGAGCTCAGAGTTGCCAGGGCGCTGCGAGCCTGCCTGGGGGGTGGAGGGGCAGCTGGGCCTCGGCCCTGACCCTCACGCCTTGGGCTTCCCACTGGTTCTTTTCAGCAGTGCCACTCTGACCTCTGGCTTGGCCGTGACGCACACCCTGTAAACTAGCTATGGTGGGGACAGAGGTTCGTGAGAGACTTTCCTCCAAATTAAAGTGTGCTAAAGGGAAAGAAGGCAGAGGACAGTGTGGAAGGCAGTCACCTCTTGGAGACTGGCTCCCTCCAAGACTGTAGAAATAAATGTTGAATTAAGCCACCCAGTCTACGGTACTCAGTTACAGCAGCCAGAAGCGACTAAGGTACAGTCGGATACCACCCTCTGTGGTAGTGAGCTTCCTGTTCGTGGAAGTAGGCAAGCAAAGGCCAGATGTACTTCTCTCGTAATATAACTCTTGGGCCAGGCTTTGAATACTGAATGGAAGTCCACCAGGCAGGGGAGAAGGGAAAGCTGGGCATCAAAGGCTTGAAAGCGAGATGAATTTCTGTGTGTCCAGAGAAAGGAGAGAGGAGTCCAGGACGCATAAGCAGGGCTGGGAGTATGACCACTGGGTACTGATACTCTCATCAGACATGCTAATGGGTCTCACACAGTATCCCAGGCTCCTTTTGTCTCTGAGTCTTGAATGTTTTCAATCTATAGAGAGCAAATAGTCTGAAACTCAGTTCATATTTGCACGTTTTGCAGTAAATCTCTGTTCTCCTGAGAAGGAGCTCATAGGGGACCTTGTACGACACTAATGCACACTTCCCCACATTTACTCACCCATGGGCAGCCCATGGGGACGTCGCAGCTCAGCAGGTAGCATGGCACAGGAAGCCCGAGGGCAATGCTGCTGTCTGGCATGCCTGCTGTACTGGGATTCTGGGGTGTAAACCAGCAGGTTGCCTCTGAGCTGCCCCAGAGCCCTCTACCCGCCCAGGGCCTGCAGGAAGCAAGGCAGCTCTGCCAGGGGCAGAAAGGGGCAGAGGGAAGCACCCCACTTGAGGATGAGACTGGGGACAGACCCCATTTCCCCCTGATGAGCTGCGTGACCTCGGACAGGTCGCTGGTCTCAGGAACTTTCTGTTACTCTCCTGCAGAAGGAAGGGTAGTCAGTATTTACTGAGGCTCTTTTTGTGGCCTAGTATGTGGTCTATTCTGGAGAATGTTCCATGTGCACTTGAGAAGAATGTGTATCCCGCTGCTTTTGGGTGTAGAGTTCTGTAGATGTCTGTTAGGTCCATGTGTTCTAGTGTGTTGTTCAGTGCCTCTGTGTCCTTACTTATTTTCTGTCTGGTGGATCTGTCCTTTGGAGTGAGTGGCGTGTTGAAGTCTCCCAAAGTGAATGCATTGCAGTCTATTTCACCCTTTTGTTCTGTTAGTATTCGTTTCACATATGCTGGTGCTCCTGTGTTGGGTGCATATATATTTAGAATGGTTATATCCTCTTGTAGGACTGAGCCCTTTATCATTATGTAGTGTCCTTCTTTATCTCTTGTTACTTTCTTTGTTTTGAAGTCTATTTTGTCTGATACTAGTACTGCAACACCTGCTTTTTTCTCCTTGTTGTTTGCATGAAATATCTTTTTCCTCCCTTGACTTTTAGTCTGTGCATGTCTTTGGGTTTGAGGTGAGTCTCTTGTAAGCAGCATATAGATGGGTCTTGCTTTTTTATCCATTCTATTACTCTGTGTCTTTTGATTGGTGCATTCAGTCCATTTACATTTAGGGTGACTATTGAAAGATATGTACTTATTGCCATTGCAGGCTTTAGATTTGTGGTTACCAAAGGTTCAAGGTTAGCTTCTTTACTATCTTACTAACTTAACTCGCTTATTATAAACACTGTCTGATGATTCTTTATTTCTCTCCCTTCTTATTCCTCCTCCTCCATTCTTTATATGTTAGGTGTTTTACTTTGTGTTCTTTTATGTTTCCTTTGACTGCTTTATTTTTTGCTTTTAGTTAGTATTTGGTAGGTCTGCTTTCTTTGCTGTGATTTTATTTTCTCTGGTGACATCTATTTAGCCTTAGGAGTGCTTCCATCTAGAGCAGTCCCTCTAAAATACCCTGTTTAGGTGGTTTGTGGGAGGCAAATTCCCTCAACTTTTGCTTGTCTGGGAATTGTTTAATCCCTCCTTCATATTTAAATGATAATCATGCTGGATACAGTATCCTTGGTTCGAGGCCCTTCTGTTTCATTGCATTAAATATATCCTGCCATTCTCTTCTGGCCTGTAAGGTTTCTGTTGAGAAGTCTGATGATAGCCTGATGGGTTTTCCTTTGTAGGTGACCTTTTTTCACTCTCTGGCTGCCTTTAATACTCTGTCCTTGTCCTTGATCTTTGCCATTTTAATTATATGTGTCTTGGTGTTGTCCTTCTTGGATCCCTTCTGTTGGGAGTTCTGTGTGCTTCTGTGGTCTGAGCAACTATTTCCTCCCCCAGTTGGGGAAGTTCTCAGCAATTATTTCTTCAAAGACACTTTCTATCCCTTTTCCTCCCTCTTCTTCTTCTGGTACCCCTATAATATGGATATTGTTCCATTTGGATTGGTCACACTGTACTCTTAATATTCTTTCATTCCTGGAGATCCTTTTATCTCTCTCTGTGTCAGTTTCTCTGCGTTCCTGTTCTCTGGTTTCTATTCCATTAAGGGCCTGTTGCACCTCATCCAGTCTGCTTTTAAGTCCTTTCAGAGATTGTTCTGTTTCTGTATTGTCCCTCCCAACTTTATCCCTTAGCTCTTGCATTTTCCTCTGCAGCTCCATCAGCATGGTTATGACCTTTATTTTGAATTCTTTTTCAGGAAGATTGGTTAAGTCTATCTCCCCAGGTTCCCTCTCAGGGAGGAAGTCTGTGTGATTCTGGTCTGGATCAAATTTTTCTGCCTTTTCATGGCGATAGAGGTAGTCATGGGGAGTTGGCACGTGTGTCAGCTAGGAGAACAAAGTCCCTTCCCGCTTGCTCATCACCTTCCTCTCCTGTGAGAATGGCGACCCCTAGTGGCTTGTGCTGGGCAGCTGGGGTTGATGGGGTCTCTGAGTCTGGCCTGAGCAGCTGTGGAGGATGTTCTGTGTGGCTGCTGTGGGTGTGGCTGGTTTTAGGCTGCTTCTCCGCTATGGCAGGGCCACACCAGAGGGGGAACAGGCAGGAGGCTGTTTATCACCATGAGGGGCCTCAGAGCTGCACTGCCGCCCAGGGCGTTAGGGTGCCTGGAGTTCCCCGGGATTCCCAGTTACTGGACTGATTGTGCCGGGACCCCTCTGTCCAGTTGGGGGTCCCTGTCCCTTTAAGATTTTCAAAAAGCACTCACTTTTCTTTTGTCCCAGTGGTGCTGGCTGTGGGGACCCAATCGCAGGTTTTACTGTTCCGTTTCCCTAGTATCCATCACACTGTGCACTGTGTGTCTGCACTCCCAGTGTGGATGGCTAGGACTGGGTATTTAGCAGTCCTGGGTTCCCTCTCCCTCCCCGCTCTGACTCCTCTCCTCCCACCGGGGAGCTGGGATGGGTGTGCGCTCCGGTTCCGCTGGGCCGCGGCTTGTATCTTACCCCCTTTGTGAGGCACTGGGTTCTTGCAGGTGTAGATGTAGCCTGGCTGTTGTACTGTATGTTCTGGTCTCTCTTTTAGGAATAGTTGTAATTGTTGTATTTTCAAAAATATATATGGTTTTGGGAGGAGATTTCCACTGCCCTACTCATGCCGCCATCTTAGCTCCTCTCCACTTAACTTTTAATCCATAAAATTTTGTATCATGCCCTCAATGTAAGTATGCTTATTTATAAGTAATATGCATGTAGCACTAACAAATTCACATGATAAAACTTGTACATAAAATAGACATTTCTTATCATATATATGATATATATATATGGTTGAGTGTTTTGTTTTGTTTTTTGGTGAGATCATTTAAGCTCTACTCTCAGCAAATTCCAGTTATACAATACAGTCTTATCAACTACAGTCTCCATGTAATACATTAGATCCTATTTATCAGCATATTCACCTCATAGCACAAAGTTTGTGTACTTTGACCAACCTCTCCCTATTTTCCCCACCCCTGGCCCCTGGCAACAATTTTTCTACTCTGTGTTTCTATGAGTTTGGCTTTTTTTTTTTAAAGATTCCACATATAACTGATGCCAGGCAGTATTTGTCTTTCTCTTTCTGGCTTATTTAACTTAGCATCACACCCTCAAGGCCCATCCATGCCATTGAAAATGGCACAATGTCCTTCTTTCTCAAGACTGAATGGCCCTCCATTGTATATACACACCACACCTCCTTTACCCATTCATCCATTGATGTACACTTAGGTTGTTTCCATAGCTTGTCTATTGTGAATAATGCTGCCAAAAACAGACGTTTTCAAAGCATCAGATAAAATGCTATCATAAGTAGAAGTTCCAATATATTCTTGCACTTCACCGTGCAGACCACAGCCTTAAATCCAACAGGGAAATAATCCACTACTTGCAGCTCTTGCTAACTAGGATTTCTGTTTCTCTAACTCCAGGACATGTTCACATCACAGATTTCAACATAGCAACAATCGTGAAAGGAACAGAAAAGGCTTCCTCCATGGCTGGGACCAAGCCCTACATGGGTGAGTGCTCCGGGTCCCCTTTGCAGTGTGATATGCCCAGTGCCTGAGGTCTCTGAGTTCCTCCCCTTCTTCCTTCCCACCCCTCCCTCACCCACCTTCTGCCCTGACAGCAGGCCCCAACCATCCCAGTATAAGCCATACTCTCTTACACCTTTGGCTTTTACCCAAGCTCTCTCCCTGGCCAAGAAGATCTTCTCCTGTGTTTCCTAGAGAACTCCTCCCCATCCAGAAAACCTTGCATCAGGCTTAGGGAAAAACAAACCAAACATGTTTTCTTTTTCATGGAAGTCCAGTTGTGTTGCCAGGATATAACTGTAGTGTTGGTCACTTTGTGTCAGTGTTCTTAAGTACAAAGCACACTTCCAATGTGTAGTTTCAAGTTGATTTTCTTTAGGACTTTTGATGGAAGTATCATTTTTAGGAAACAATCTGTTCCCTTGCTTTAGTTTTTTAAGGATGCCTATTATCTGAATGTTGGACCTTCTTTATCAGTCTTCAATATTGTCATTTTCAGATCTTTCCTATCTCTTCCTTCATTTGTTTAAAATTTTTCTCATTTTTCTTGTTCTCTTTCTTTTAAAGATTATCTGTTGTGTTTGCTTTATGTGCTTTCAGTAGAGTATTTCTGAAATAATTTTCCCTTTTTTTCTAATTTTCTTCTTAGTTCTTTCCTGATTTATGAGGATTTCTTTAACCTAATTTGTTGTTCTTTCATGTCTTGTGCAATTTCTTTAATGTCATGATTAGTTACTAATTGTTAATTTCCATATTGGTTGTTAAGTCCTGTGTAATGAAACAAAACTTAGTGGCTTAGAACAATAGCAATATATTATTTCTCCCAGTTCTGCCATTGGACAGAGTGGTTCTTCTGCTGGTTTTGGCTGGGCTCATGCATTCAGCTGGCAGCTCAGCTAGGGGCTGGACTCATCCAGGAGAGCTGAATTGATGGGCCTCTCAATATCTGGTCCTTCATCACCAAGGGGACTAGAGTGAGCTTGTCACATGATGGTGGTAATTTCAAAAAGGAGAACCCAATTCCCGTATGCTTATGAAACTCTCCTTGCTTCACATTTCCTGATGTCCAAATGACCAAAACAAGTCACATGACCAAGACCAGAGCCCACGTGGGAAGGGACTGCAAGGGGCACGGCTACCAGAAGGCCTGAATCACTGGGGAACTTTGACTGAAACAACCCACCACATCGTCTCTTAACTTTATGATTTGGAAATACAGGTTACATTTTTTACCTGGTTTTTAGGGGGCACATCTTTCTGGTGTACTTTCAATGTAAAGTATTATTCTGCTCTTTGTTGTCCTTTCTCTTATGATAACTTTGCATGGGTTTTGACTTTGATAGTTTCCTGTTGCTTTTTTTTATGTGAAATTAGTTTCCCTGAACTTCTGAAAGATGGTGCGGTTCCAGGGTTGCTTTCCTAACTTCACAGACTTTGTGTCTCCTGCTGGTTTTGTGCAAGAGAAACTCAGAGCTAAGGCAGCTTGCTATCTGGACATTTCTGGCTTGGCTACACTTGCCCAGGATTACCTAGATCTTCTCCTTTTCTGTAAGGTCCCTGTCCTGCTAGGTTTTAATTACACTCCCAACAGTTTTTCCTTGGGGCTCCTTTTGAGAAAGCAGCTCTGGCTGGATTGATTAAAGAGATTGTATGTCCCTGATTGTCCAGCTCCTGCAGAACTTACCAAGGACCCTGTCACTCACCTGATACTGGACTGGACAAGCCCCCCTGGTTTCAGTCGCTGACCTCACATTGGGCGGCTGTGCCTCCAGTGAACACCTGCTGGCTGTCCTGGAGTTCTCTGTCATCCAGTACAGCATATGCCACCTTGTTTCTTCCACATGTTTCCCTCTGCACTGAAATCACTACTGTGAGGGTCTTATCACTGCTGCTCATTTGTCTCACTCACTTACATTTGGGGGTTTGCAGGGACAACTTAGTTTTTCTAGTAAATATTGCCATGATTTTTAGATTGGCTGTTTATATGCTCTGTCAGTGTATGATTTGTGGAGATTTGAAAACTGTCACCACCTCCCCAGAATCTTTTGTCATTCTCTGTAACTTAACAAATAAATTTTAAAAATTAAGTTTAGCAATAGTGGTAAAAGTACTTTTTAGTATTTACTATGTGCCAGACATTGAACTACATATTTTCCATCCACAGCCTTATTTACTCTCACAAACACAAAGTAGGCACAATTTTTATCCCCATCTTAAAGTCAAGGACATGGGCTGAGATTGGGGACTTGCCCAAGTTGACAAGGGTGGTGAGAGTCAGATGCAGGTCAGTGTGACCCCAGGAGGTACACACATGAGTGAGTGTGTTCACTCTCAGTCCCCATGGGATGCTGAATACTTAACCACTAAGGCTTTCCCTGCTGCTGATCTTTCTGAAATCCCTTTCCAGAAGGATGCAGAGCTGGGATAAGTCTGTCCAAGGAGGTCACTGACTTAAGATTCATGTGAGATCAAATGGCAGGAGAATGGGAGTGAAGGAGGTGTTAAGCTGCCTCCCAGGCTTCTGGATGGTGCATCTGAGTGGATTACAGTTCCCTGTATAGGGAACACAGCAAGCACAGCAAATATGTGGGGCAGTGGGAGTGACAAGTTTGAACTGGAGGTGTCTATGGTAATATTGAAATAGCCAAGCTCTCCTGGCACCTGGAAAGTGATGGGGACTGCGTCTGTGGATTGAGAGTCACCAGCACCGAGGTGCAGCAAAGCCCCAGTGGAGACAGGACCCTCCAGGGAGGATGCAGGAAATAAGAGCACCACATCTGAGGCCCAGAAAGAACGCCCTGCAGGAAGGAGCAGGGAGAGGCTAAAGGTGTGTCCTCTCCAGAGGGAGTGCGGAAGAGAGCAATGACATAAAGAGAAGGATCTCCCACAGAGTGGCCGCCATAATCCTGTGAATTCATTCTGACTTCCTCGAGGCTGTTTTCAAAAAGCAAATTGATCTCTAGGAATGCAGATCGTGGACCACAGGATTGTACCAACCCCAGCTGTTCTGCCCTGCTTTGCCACCACACTTGGCACTTTCCGGGTGCCTCTTCAGAGACTCCACCTGAGCCTGCCACGGCTTCACTCCCCAGCTACCAACTGATGTCCTGTCCTCAGCCTCTGAGAAGGCAGACCAGAGGTGACCCAGCTGGCCACTCTCCATGTGGCCCTACCTTCAAAAGGGAGAAGAAAGCCAACATGAACCATGACCCTACTAAGTTAGTCCACAGAAAATCAGTGTGAAGTTTCTCTCTCTCTTCTCTTTATATATGAGGCACCAGAGGCCCAGAGAGGTTAATTAACATGCCCAGAGTCACACAGCTGGCAAGGGCAGGAGCCACATATATTTGGATCCAAAGTCCATGCTTTTGCCACTACATCAGACTGCCTTTTTGACAGGGTTCATATATCATAAAGCTGTATTTTTCAGAAAAGAAAAAAGTTGTTCCAGTTTTATGTAGGATTCTGCGCTTCTGGTATCCATCTAATTAGAGGAGCTTCCGTCCTGAATTAGTGAGCAAATGCACAGGAGAGGTTTTTATGGGATTTAGATAGCATAAGTGATTTCCCAAATGGCTATATTTTTCAGACTGTGGAGGGGTTGACAGTACCAAGCAGGGGGAGTCTAGTGGGGAAGATGAGGGGAAGGGGAGCTCTCTCAATATGGTCAAATCCTGCAGTTCCTAGGGCTGTAATTCCTGCTGTCAAGTGGCAGGGTTTTTTTTGTTTTATTCACTTGAGCTGTTCAGTTCAAAAGCCCCATAACAAGTTCCCAGAACGTTCCAAACATGATTCAGGCAACAAGCTGATGAATAAGTTCCCAAAGGTTGTTCACGAAGGATGATCCTGGAAGAAAAATTTGCATAGAACTGAGTTTTCATTAATTAAAGAGCAGATGGAATTCGCAATAGGAGAAAAAAAAATCTCTCTGAAATGAAGTCAAACGTTCCAGCAGCCACCCTGAGCTTGAAACGTATTCATCCGAGATGAAATGAAGAGCCGAGCACTCATTCAGCAAACATTGACTGAGCCAACGTTTAGGAGGGGCAGGCTCTGAGCCAGGCACTGGGGCTCAGATGTGAGTAAAGTTCTCCCAGGCCCCAGGGGCTCACCATCTAATAGAGCAGGCAGGTACGTAGGCTTCGGTGTGAGCAGGTCATTGTCAAGATGGACTCCTGGAGAGTGGGGCAATCTGAGGGAGACCCTGAGGGTGTGCTCAGCGTTTGCCTGTCGGGTAAGGGGTAAGGGGAGGCCACCACAGGCAGAGGCAGCAGGCAGAGAGGCACAGAGGAGTGAGCCCGCAGGCTCTGTTGGGAGACCCTAGTGGCTCCATTTCATTATAGCTTGTAGAACAAGAGGAGATGGGGAGGGAGAGGTGAGGCGGGCCGAAGCATGAGTCTTGAATACTGTGGTCAGGGACTGGCAACCAGTGGAAAGTTTAGTGTGGTGCTGTCGAAGGTCATGATCAGACTCATGGGATCGAGCCTCATATGTGGCCTTGAAGAAGCAGGAAGTGGGTAACGAACTTGCTAGAAACGGGTTCAGGTGAAATGTGGGCTTCAGCATGGGGCAATGGATGTGTCTTCCACTTAATGGCTGGATGAACTTGGGTGAATCTCATTAGCTGACTAAATGCACATGACATGCTCCATGCAGTGGTGAACGCTCAAGAAGTGTTGGCCAAACCACAGGACCTGACAGGTTCCTCATCTGAGAAACAGGATTAAAGATTATGCCATCTGCCTCAGTAGGTTGTCTGTGAGGCTTTAATGACTATGGAATTTAATGGCTGTGGAAGGTACTTCACATTATGCCTGACAAATAGCAGGTACACAAAACTGGTAGCTGATATTATTTTTGGTTTTGTTGTTATTGTTATTATGTAGATGATTAATTATTTGGAATATGCTTAGCACTGCAAAGCCAGAGCTGAATCTGGCATTCCCTTGCCTTGTAGAGCTCACAGTTTAGTTGGGGAAACAGAC